AAAAGACACAGGGAAGAATATTTATGCTCTTTAAAACTGGGCATAGTCCAAATGCCCACCATAGCAGAATAGATCAATTTTTCATGTGTTCACATGATGATCTTCTAAACATCTGTGAGGAAGGCTAACTTTGCAGCTCACAGAACACTGTAACTTTGCACCTACTATTGTTTGAAAGCACAGAATACATCCCATAGAGCCGAATTTACACAGAACTCAGTGGCCTTTATGCGGGTGGGATGTACTGACTGAGAGATCTGTAGGGATTCATGGCTTCACATCGGTGGTAGACATGCAGAACCTTAACTTGGTAAAGATAACGAGGTGTTCACTTCGGATTTTTCTTCCATCTCTATTCTAACATTCAAGGTTTCTTTAAAAGGTGGTCATTTAAGACCTCCATTTAGCATGGTAGTCCTATGAGAAGAGAGAGCATCTAAACGTCATCTCATTCCTCAGCAGCCAGAGCTGCTGGATACGATACCTTTGTAGACACACAAATGAACTCCCCAGAAGGGGAAGGATCCCTAGGGCACACACTGAGTAAGATCCTGAGTTTCTTACCCTGGGAAGTTTCAAAGCCTTGAGTTAATATGGGACTCAGAGGGCTACATCCTAAATGAAAAATGACCCAAAATAAAGAAAACAAAAATCTCACTCTTATTTTAAGTAAATCAGAAAAAGGATGCCCCAGGGACTGGCCTGGCTAAGACGTGACGAAAATAAAGAAGACAGACGCTCTTAGAAAGATGGCTCCACAAGCTTCTCTCCAATTAAACTGGGGATCTCATTCTATTTCCTGCTGTACCAACGTCCCCAACAGACCAGAAAGAACCACCAAGGGACATCTTCTTCACTGACTCATTTTCACAAGAAAAGAGTGACCAGCTGAGAAGCTGGAAGCAGAAGACACGTTTCCCATCTTAGCATTTCCTTCCGCTATGCTATCAGATTTTGTCGCAGGGGAGGCAGCAACACTTCTGCAGGAAGGGACAAAACATTCCCAGGTTCAGTCTTTTGAACCGACGTTGAACCCACAGACTCTTTACTAAACATTTACGTAGTTCCTCTCTGAACAAAGAGACATCACGGGCAAAGATGACCCAGATCTCAGCTCCTATTTTACAATCATCTGCTCCTTCAGAAACTGGTCTCTTGTGTAATATGATCTCAATGTCCTTTCTGTTTACAGAAATCAAGAAGAAAAGGTGACCAGGTTTGAAAGGAGTGTGATGAGCGTGCAGATGCAGCACAACAGGCCACAACAGGGGCCAGTTACCGCGGGCATCTTAGATTCTCCTTTCTGGAATACAAGTTACCACGAATCTGTAAGTGTCAGAGGCAAAACAGCGTGATGGAGGAGGACATTCCTACTTTCTCTCCTTCTGAGAGGAGGCTACAGAGAGCCTGCAGCAGCTTGGGGGTGCAGCTGGCTAACCTGCCACTGCTCTAGGGAAGAGGCTAACCAGAGCCAGCCAGGCTTCTTTGAGGTCCACTGGACCAGTGTGGAGTCACAGCCAAGTGTGCCGACGGCATCCGTCTCAGCTGGACACTATGTCATGCTGGACCCACTGCTCCACAGAGTTCAGCTTTTGAAAACTTGAGATTTAGTCATCCCCAAGCAATGGGTGTGCAGCCTCATTCCACCTAGACCAGATCAAACGCTCACACGAAATCAGCTTTTTCACCTTCGACAAGTAATGTTGACACCTTGTGATGACTAAAACCTGTTAAGCATGTCACGAAATAAGCACACGATGACCCAGAGATGCCACAGGAAGCACCATGCCTTTCCACAGCAGCTTCTCAGCAGCCCTCACTAAGCCCTCAACTGTAGATGCTTTAGATTCATGGTAAGCAGACCACACAAATGCAAGAAGGCTGGGTAAACTGCATTTCAGTAACATCGCTCTTAGTTTTATTGATAGACCATCCACAGAGCCCAGACTTAGAAACACAGGAGTCCTGACTTTCACTTCTTCTCAGGCTCAGGCTTTAGATCCCACCCCTCACCGAGGCTCAAACGTACTCAAAACAGCAGTGCTGCACTCTTTGCTGTCTATGAATTTGTCTTTGATATAGACATACTACTTCCTACTCTTCGGTCAGGTCTCTCCTGTCTGTCGGGCACATATGGAAAGTCCAGCGTCCACACCACTGCCCTGAGTGACTTCCGGAAGAGCTGTCTTCTTAAATATTCTACGTCCTTTCCCTAGCAGGAGAGTCACACAGCCTTCCCAGCTTGAGAAGCCAACTCTCTTCAGCCCCCAGCTGCTCCTCTTCCTCTCAGCTCCCACAGCACTTAAGGCCCCTCTCATTGGGCACTTAACTTTCACCTGCTGTTTCTAACACCTGATACGGTCAGATCTTATCTCCCAGGGTAAACTGTCTGCTCCTAGAAAGAAGAAACTAGATTCCTATCTTCCACTGCATAATTGTCCCAGGGGCCTGGCCTGGCTGCTTTATGTCATGGACTCAGAGCACAACTGCATTTGTCCCTATAAAGTTCAGCACAGAAAGATAAAAGAGGAGCGGAAAGGGGGAAAGGTAACTTTTGTAAAGACCTTGTGTAAAGACCGCTCAGCTCCGCTCAGTTATCTGTACCTTGAAAGGGGAGATTCTGATCTAAAAGAAAGCCTCTAGATAGGGCTTTCTCTCATCCTGGAGAGGCACTCCAGCAGAGTGCTTCTGGTCACCTGTGTTTTGTCCTCTGTGACAGGGAGGGATTTGTCTGCCAAAGTCTACGAATACCAGTTCACATTCCTTCCTTTACCCTGTAAGCTCCACTGAGGTATCTGAGAGTTATGTCAATCCTAAGTAGTCACATGTTGCTATTGGCTGAACACGACCTCCAAAATTCCTATGTGGTAACCGATTCATCAGCATTAAGAGGTGGAACCTTGGAGAGGTCAAGTCAGAAAGGTAAAGTCATCCTCTTGGCTGGGGTTGGGACACCTTATAGGCCTGCACAAGGTGAGTTTGCTCCTGTCCACTTGGCCTTACACTGTGAATTCATAACACTGTTCTCTCTGGGAGGTTGCAATAAGAAGGGGCCACCCTTGGAAGCAGGGCATCGGACTCTCTCCAGACACCGAACCTTCTAGAGCCTTGTTGTTGGAATTTATGTCCTTCAGAGCAGTGGAAAATGAATTTCTGGGTTTTCCCCCAAAATTCCTGAGATTCAGATGTCATGTTCTAGCAAATGGCAATAACATTAGAAGCCAGTTGGCCAGATCTGTTCTAGTAGGAGCCAGCCCTAAAGTATATCTTTCTGGATTTGTCCAGAGTCATTGTTGACAACTGGCAATTTTTGATGCATACTGAAGTCACTCATGGAGCTTTAAAAATCATTGTCCTCAGATCCACCCATGCCAGTAAAAAAAGCAACATCTGGGAGGGACCCCCGGACACCAGTGCTTCCAGGCATTTCCTAGCTGGTTGCAGTGTGCAGCCACGTTTGAGAAGCCGCGGTTCAGTAGGCCCTTTAGCAACTGCTCCAAATATTCATCCTGAGTGCTAATGTCAGAACATGAAAACACGGACTTATTTTGAACGAAAGCAATGCCTGTATAAGGAAATGAACAAGGCATGAGTAACCAAGGAGACTAGATAGCTACCTTGTGGTTAAGCTAGGCTTTACCAACATCATCTTTTTCTTCTCCCTGTAATCTTTTAAGGGCCCCTGACATCACTATCTAAATGTCAGCCAGATTCTAGAAATGAGACATTTCTCTCCTAGAAAATAAAGGAGCCTCCAGCAATTCTCATCTCTGACTGTTCATCAGAATCATCGGGCACATTTAGAAATACTGATGCAAGGCCCTAAACGCCGAGGCTGGTTCAATTTGTGTAGAGTTGTGGTTCTTGATGTGGCTGTGTCTGCTCACATGGGCGCTCCTTGGAAAGGCAAGTTCTTGGGCTCATTTCAGGCCTGATGGATCTGGTGTGTAGGTGAGTCGGGGGTGGGGTGGTAGTGCACACCTGTGCTGGGGTAAGCCACAGAGTGGGCGGTCATCGAGCTGCAGGTTGAGAGCCACTGGCCAGGCCCAGCACACATTTTCATCAAGTTCTCCATGTACTTCCAGAAAGGTCCAGGAGAGAGTCCAAGGTTAAAGAGCTTCAACAGCTCTTCTCTGTCTATTAGTGCTGTCCCTGCTCTTCCCATTGCCCGTCTACCATGACAAGCAAGGAGGCATTCTTTGGACTGGGCACAAGGAGTCTTACATTATGTTGAAAAATAATGGATTTACTGTGTTCATCATTTTAACATATCTGAATGAAATCAACAGTGAAAGGCACTCACTGCTAAGACAACTGTCAATGGAGTTCCCCATATTCCTCCCCCCACCCACTCAACCAGTCAACTTTCCTCCAAAATAAAACAGCCAATTAACCATGACCTCGCAGCCAGATAGAAATATCGTTTTCACTTGCTAGGAAAAGAGATATAAATAGGACGTGTCTTCTTTTTCAAATGAGCATTTTTGTCAAAATTTCAAGCTTCAATTGCAGTCCATCTCGTCCTTGAAAAAGATCTTAGCAGTCTAAAAGGCTCAAGGTTTTTATTTATGCAGCGATGACATTTGGAATGCCAGCTTTTGCAATCTCAAAATGTAAGACTGTGGCAAGACAGGAAATAAATGAAATCTTTACATGAGCATCGATTCATCCTTCACATGAAAGAAGTTACTATGGATGAAGGCTTCAAAGAGTGGCAAACAAGCTGCCCATTCTCCACTGTTCCACACTTGGCTGGCCCCAGGGTGAGGAAGTCTCAGTCACCTCCCGTGGAGCTCCAAGGAAGCTTCAGGAGAAAGAGGGTGATCTTCTGGGTCCCTTTGTATCTGAGAGTCTTTGAGGATGAATTAGGCCTATGTCTAAAAGATCTGCCAATAGCCTTAGACGAGAGGGACAGCTGTGAGTGCAAGCATGTACCTGGTCCTCAGGGCTGCTCACTCTCAAGCAGCTCTGGGGACACAATCTGTCTACTGAGACTTTACCTCGAGGACAGTAGATGTCAGGAGCCCATCGGTTGCATTCATAATTGTCTGCTGCCTTTTCGCAGGTGAAACATTTAAATCCACCAGGATATGGAGTGGCTGCAAAAAACCAAGAGAAAAAGCCGATTTCAGATGGAGCAAAAGAATCCTGTAAAGTGAAATGAATTCATCTTTAAAAAGGTTCTCAAGATAGCTTGGAGGTGGCAAAAAAATTACAGTGAAGTATCTGATGACTCAGCATTTTACGGCAGGAAATTTATTCCTGAGGCACGAGCACTCGAAGTCACAGAAATCTGCATACAGATATAGAGTTGGTTTCATTTGAACAGGCTGCCTACTCCTGATCTGAAAATATGAACTCTAAAATGCTCCCAAATCTGAAACTCTTGAGCACCAACATTATACTCCTGACCTCATGTGACCACTTATAGTACTGAAAGGATTGTATAAAATTCCTCCAGGGATTGTATAAAACTCTTCCAGGCTATTACAAGGCATACATGAAACTAATAAATGTGGCCTTTAGACTTCGGGCTCATCCCAAGATATTTCTCTGTGTACAGACAGATATTCCAAAATCCAAAACCCATTCAATACTTGAAATACCTGTAGTCCCATGCACTTCAGATACAGGATATTCAACCTACAATGACCCCAGGTTGTAAGGAATTCAAATGTCTACCAATAAGTGAATGGGTTAAACAAACTGTGGTATATCCATTGGTGTGGAATACCAGGTACCAAGAAAAAGGAACAGATTGCTGGTATTTTCAACAATTTTAATAAATTCCCTTGGGATTACTCTTAGTGGAAAAAAAAAACCAGTCAGAAAGGCTACATACCATATGGCTATATTTATATTACTACTTTATTATTTTTACATCTATGTATTTACATATGCATGCATGTATGTATATATGTGTAAATGTATGTATGTATTGTATGAGTGTACCAGTGTGTCCAGGTTCCACAGTATACACATGAAGACACAGGACAGCTTGCAGGAATTGGTTCTCTCCTTCCACCAAAGTGGCTTCCTGGGGACCAGACACATGTGGTAAGGCTTGGTGGCAGATCCACCTTGTCCACCCACAGACCACTTGGGTCTACTTATAAACCACTTCTGGGATGAGAGGATTTGGAATGGACTGCATGCAGGTGAGTGGTTACCAGGTGTTACAGGTGACCATGTGCGGGTACCAGGGTACTGTTTGGAGAGGAGGTGTGGTTCCCACAAATCCAGCAACGCTCTCTGACCTTTCCCATCCTCTCTCCATGCCCGGGGTGTGCTTCCAGCCTTCTAAAGAGATTGTCCTCCAAGTACCACTTGTTCTCTGTCCTGCTCCTAAGCTCAGGGTGTCACCTGAGAACCATGCTCTGGAGGCGCTCAGTACACCAGGTGTTCTGTCAGCACAAGGCAAAGCCACAAGCAACGTCAGCGTCCCCACTTCTGGGGGGAGGGGAGGGGTGGGGCCTTCTGGTTCCCCGTTCTTTGGCTCTTGTGCTTACGGCTGCCTCTTACCTGGAATCCTTTGCTCACCTTACGATTATGATCGCTGCCTTTGCTAAACAGATTCTGAGTCGTTTTAAACTTTGCAACACTCCCCGGCCTAGTTGAAAGCTGCAGACATTTAACTAGTTCATCTGTGGGAGCCAACGGCTCTCCCTTGCAGATGGCCGAGCCCGAGGATCCCACTGGTGGAAATAACCCTCTCAGGGTAAACTGCATGGCCCACATGGGACCAATTAAGTATGTTCTCAAAAATAAATGAAGGAGGAGACAGCAGCTTAAGGCCAGAATTATGGTTCAGATAAAACTTTGACTTTCACCTTGCCCAGAATAGCTGCCCATTCGAATACTTGCCTGAAATATTTCAGAGAATGGACTGTTGATGATGGTACCTGGACTTGGTCAGAAGCTGTGAACTGTCTACAAAGGATGAGTAACTAGACCTTTCCATGGGCCCACGTGACAGTCCTATGCTCCTACTAGCAGGTAATTTGAATTTACAGATAGGTTAAACGCGAGGGTATAGGCCATCTCTGAAAATGATGGGAAAAGCCCAGAGACAGCCACTTAGTCCCAGGAGGGAACCACACCATGGGAAAATGTTCTGTCACATAACAAAAGCAGAAGGAAATATTTTTGTGAGGCATACACAGGCAATTAGTACAGCCCTCCTTTTGCAAAACAGAAGTCTTTTGTTTTTTGATTGAATGAATCTGTGTTGAAATTGGGGGGCGGGGAGCAAGCAGAATCTCAAAGCCCAAAGCCACTCAATATTATATGGACATTTTAATAATATGTTTGTATTTTACAAATATCACTATGAGGAAAGTCATACAAGCATTCTAGGAAATTATACTGGTTTGACACTTTAAAAACAGTCCCACTCTTAACTTTAGAATATTTAACATATGAATCACTTTAAGAGGTGAAAATTTAAAATATCTCGTAAAATCTGAAGTAGAGTAATGAAAATAGAGCCTTGAAAAAAATATAAAAGATTTGAGAAAACCAGCATTTCCCCACCAATGTTCTTCATATTCACCAAGGTTCACGAGTGCAAGTCAGCACATCACTCCAGTCTACACGATTCATTCTCTAGAATACCCAACTTTATCGGTCTGTCCCTGGAGCCAAAACAACTTTTGGCTGGCTTGTTGGATTAGTTATTCCGGGAAAGTTTCCCATCAAGGAGATAAATTGAAAACTTTAAATAATGACCACCCAACTGCTCAAAGAATAAAGTTCTTGGGAGCCAAACACTAGTAAGTTGTTGTGTTCCCAAACTTGGATTATTTAATCGACTTTTCAAAATGACCTTTTCCAACACTGATGACATATTAAATTAAATACTGTCACTTCTTCCATAACTAAACCCCTACTCTGAAATTAACCCATTGACATTGGAATCTGAAGAGAAGTATGAGCTAGCACACTAGGCAGCAAAATGAAGCTTTGCTTCCAATCATTTATGCCTAAATGAACTTTATCAGAGTATGTGACTGGTGATTGGCCAAATGCTCTCCATTTTTGTCAGTATTTTTTATTATTTATTTTATTTTCAAAATCTTATGTGTATGGGTGTTTTGCCTGCATTTACGACTATGTACCACTTGAAAGCCTAGTATCTGAGGAAGCTCGCAAAGGGTGTCAGATCTCCTGGAACTGGAGTTACAGATATTTCTCAGTATGCTATGTGGGTGCTGGGAACTGAACCTGGGTCCTGTTGGAGAACAGCCAGTGTTCTGAACCACTGAGCCAGCTCTGCAGCCCCTGGTCAGTCTTATTTTAAAACCTACAAACCCACAACTGTTTAAATTCTCAAGCACTATAGTTTAATATTTGTTTACATGAATTTCTGTTGATATTTTGCCTGGGATTAATGAACAGCACTGATTCCTGACAAATATTTTCAAGCATTTTTTACTTTAACTATAATACAGCACCAAACAAATGGTTAAGTTATTCTCTCTGGCAATATTTACCTGAATAAGGTCAGCGGATGATCAACTATCTCCAGTAACTTGTTCATTGATACTGTATCTGATAAAGAGTTTATTTCTCTTTTCGGAGGCAGGGAAAGAGGTTCCTAAGATGTGCTATTTTCTTCTTCGTTACTTCAAAGCCTTACAGAGCGAGCGGACTTCAGATCCTGGTGGCCCCAGCTGTGAATGCATCTACTTTCTTTGGCTCCTGATCACAGAGCTAATGAGCTTAGTACACTGCATTTCAGGGCATAAGGCCTTGGTCCCTCAAGAGAGGGTGATTGTAAAGAAAAAAGAAACACTAGAGTGCCCAGTTACTTCCTGTAAGATAATCCGTCCATTAACTCTCATGGTCAGCCATAGTTCAAGTTTCCATAATTCATTTGCAAGGCATTGGGAAAGATTTAGCTGCTTTCCCCGCCTCTCGGTACTTTTGCCTGGACAAAGACCTTCAGTTACTGGAAATGTGGTGAAAGCAGATGCTTCGAAACGTATGCTGATGTGCAATATGTCTGCTCTCATCAAATTAGTTTTCACTGTTTTTTAAAAAAACGGATAGAAATATAAACATTCTAAAAATCTAATATTATTTGTTGTGGTCCACTAAAATATTGCTGATATAATTTTGACATATTTCTAATAGAATACACTTCCTGATGCCTGTCTAGAAGTCTTCTTACTCTGTAAGACTTAACGAAGTGTAGGACTGTGCATAAACTTCCATGCTTCCCTATGTGGGGCATAAGCAAGCCCCTGCCAGGACATAGCTCTTTGATGCACAAGATTAAGAAGGGTTCAGAACACACATGCAAAGGAAAATTGGATTGTTTTCCTGGAGTGTTTTCCATTCTACAGAAAGAAACAGGCCAAGAACAGGGCACAGTCGTTTTATTAAATTCTCTTGTGTGATATTTGACCGAATAAATAGCTCCATTTCTCTTAATATTAACTCTTGTTCAGGGATGGTAATTAGATTTTGGTGATTTAACCTGAGAATGGAAAGAAAAACCAGCGCTCTCACATTAAAAAAAAAAAAGAAGAAAAAAGGCACACACAAATTAGCAAACAGAATGTTCTGGAGGATGTGTTTGAAATCCATAGTTTGTTTCTTATAATACTTGGAAACTTCAAAGATTTGGAAACCAGGAAGCAAAGGAGATTAGTGAGCGGAGGTGAATTTTCTCAGCCCAGTTACCATCAATAACGGCTGCCTGGACCTAAGAACAATGAGTTTGTTTGGCATAGAAAAACTTGTGTGTTCTCAAGCTTCCTACCCCTCCATGTTTTTCCGTGGACAGATTCTGTGCTTTGCCATATAACATTAATAGAATCTGGCTCACTCACTGACCCAAAGAAAGCTGCTTGTACCTCCACCTACAAAGTGAGGCAATTGTATAAATAATTCAAAATCAAACTAATCCCATGTTCCCCTCATGTATTTTTTAAGGCCAGTGCTCAGCAGAAACTTTCTTGTTGGTAGAGAGATCACTCCATCTAAGCAGGCGTGAGGGCTCAAGGGCAGAGAACCGTGGCTGTTTAAATATCCGAAGTGCAAACACACACACTCAACACACTTCCGAAGTAGTTTGGAGAAATGTCAAGTTAAC